TCTCGTAATAACGAGATGTTTTCTCGTTAAAACTACATCTTTTCTCGTTAAAACTACATCTTTTCTCGTTTTAACGACAAAAATAAAAAATAAAACGTATCTCGTTATTTCAACATAATAACTCGTTATTTCGAGATATTAAGTCGTTATTTCGACATAAGTCGTTATTTCGAGATATTAAGTCGTTATTTCGACATATTAAGTCGTTATTTCGACATAAGTCGTTATTTCGACATAAGTCGTTATTTCGAGATATTAAGTCGTTATTTCGACATAACTCGTTATTTCGACATAATAGGTCGTTATTTCGACATAAGTCTCATTATGTTAAGGTTTGTATTAATTTCAATATAAGCCACTAGAGGGCAGAATAAGACTCAATTAAAGAACGCATTTTAGTTGACCTACTGTTAAGCACTTTTACAAGTTGGTGCTCCAATATCGCAGAGTTTTTGTGCTAATTGCCAGTATTGCTCTTTCAGCCAGCTTTTTATCTGTTAGATTTTGTTTATTTGTTAACTTTAAACAATCATATTATCGCCTATTAATTCTTCTTCGATGGCCTATTTTGCTTGACCTTTATTGGCCCGATCAAAAAAATTTTTAATCAACTTGGCTTGCACTGCGTTAGCACTACTACAGGTACCACTACTGTGGCTATTAATATTATTTTATCTATTATTGTTGTTGTTGCTGTCCGTGATAAGAGTAGAACCTACTGCAGAATAGATAGAAGACTTTTTTGCCCATAGGACATTTGTACATCGGCCACATTTTAACTTAACGCAACAGGAAAGTCAAAGCTGGCGGGAGCAAACGCAGAGAAAAGTGGGCCAAGATCATCGCAGTAATGGCGGAGGAGGATGAACTGTATAACTTCCTTCACAATCGTGGAGTGCCAGAGGACACGATAAATCGCATGATTGAGCAAAAGGTTATTTAAACATGCATATTAAACATGTTCATTATTTTGAATGCAGTTACCGCATATATTCAATTTGACACGAATTATTTTAGTAATTATGGTAATTAATTTTAGTAAAACAGGACATTACAAGTAGGGGATGTAAAGATTCACTCAACTCACGATGACGATTCACGATACTGGTTTCATGATACGATTTTCTCACGATTTTTTAAAACAAAATTAGATTTAAGATAAATTATAAATGAGAAAGTGTCTTTTTGTTATGTCTTACCCTGTTGAAAAAACCAGCATATGCTGGTTAGGTATGTTTTGAAGCATGGCTGCTGGTTTAAGCTGGTTCTTAACTGGTCATGAACTAAGCAACTAAGTCCTAAACAACTAGCTCCTGCTCATGACCAGCATATGCTGTTTT